GTCTGTATTTTATTGTCTTCCTTTAGAGAAAGAATAGAGTTATTCTATCAGGCAGTTAATTTACTTGTAGATCAAGTGAATTTTTGAGGCTTTTAAAGTTTGGAACCCTTATGTCTATCAGCACTATGAGGCTCTTTGTCTGTGGCAGATAAAAAATTGCTGCAGCCTCTGTGTTTAGAGACCTCATGCAAGTTCAATACCCTGACACCACCACATTGGCAATTTGTATAATTGTTTCTGTTTTGCTTTGTTTCACTTGGCACCTGGAATTTCATCTGGCTTTTCCTTTTGCACTGTAATATGTTTTAAAATGTTGTTATAACTTATTTAGCATTTCTTTGTATTTGGGACATGAAGTGGAGTGTAGATCAGCTCAATCCAATGTGTTCTTAGAGGTCCCCTCAAATTAGTTTTTTAAATGCATCTGTGGTAAGCATTAAAATGAAGTCTTACCATATAAAAGAGGTACCTGTGTATTTTTTTCAGAGTGGGGTACTAGCTGCAGAGGTTTCTCTGGAAACCTGATGTTTTTTAAGAGAAGATATGAAGGCAGGTAAGGGTTTTTTTTTATGCAGATAGACCAACATATGCAAAGGCCCTGAGACAAGATGGAACTTGGCGTATTTCAGGGTCTGAATGAAGGCCAATGTGTTTGGAACTCAAAGAGCCAAGAGGCAGCTGTTAAGGGATGAGGTTTTGTGAGAGAAACAGTTTCTAGACTGTGAAAGACCTTGTTGCCTGTATTACGATATTTGAATTCTATGTTGCTTTTCCATATCACAGGTAGTGGTGAAATCACTTGTCACATGGACATTTTTATCTAAATCTAGTGGTGGTACGTTCTTATAACCAATACACACCTATAGAGAGAAATGCTGATTTCATCTCTTCTACAAATATGACTAAACATCCAGTTACAAAACAATTTCAGATGCAAGTCTTTTTCTAAAATAACACACTCAGACAAACAATATATTTGGAAAGGAAATGTGAAAAATATAAGTTATTCATAATCAACAGCCTTTTTATAGGTAGATCCTTAAACGGATAGTTTTTGTTAAGTTCTGGGAATGCCAGTTCATTAATACAGATTTATTTCATTGTGCTGGTCTTAGAGGTATTCAAGCTAGGATAAAACTCACCATAAATAACCTGGACCTTTTTAAAATGAGGTCTAAACAACAGTACACTTTCTAAGTTAGGATTTTAAAAAAATTATTATTTTCTGCAACTCTACTTAATGAAGCTTTGGAAGGGAGTTGTGTGCATATGCTTATTTATTACACTGGGCAAATAGGGTTACTTACTTTTCTGTTCTTTGGAAATTTGGTTCAGAAATCACAGTTCTACTATAAAGTGTAAGTCACTGAAATGCCTTTCGGCCATAGACATTCTCTATAATGAAAGATGTCATTACACTAAATAAGGAAAGTTTCCTATGACAGATAATGGGATCAATGCTATGCAACTGACATAATCTTGCATTTTGATAGTCATTTAGGCCATTAAGAAGTTTTCAAATGATTTGAAGAGTACTGGTAGGCAAGAGGAAATTTTCACTACCCACTGATACTACTTAGTTATAGCTAAATGAGAAAAAAATCATAAAAATATTCTTAATTTTTCTCTTAGGTAAGGAAAATCTTTCAGTTACCCTGTAGTTTGTGTCAGGATATCTATTTTCCCATTAAACATGTCTGCCAGACCGAAAAGAGAATTACAGGAGAACTTTTGAACTAGTTTGGTAAGAAATTCCTTTCACACAAAGGATCTCATTGAGAAAAGTGCAAAGCCAGTTCATCATTGTAGTTTAACTTAAATGTTTTAGGTATCAGTTGAAAGTCTCAAATCCTCTAATCATTCATTAATCCACTTAGTGTAATATTTATGAGATTTGCTATTAATCTTATCCAAAACCTGTGTTATTTTGATACTTATGGACTTAAAAAAATCTGTAAGTCTCAAACTTTAAATGTCACTAAGTTTTAAATTATAAAAACTTGGTTAGCACTCATAAACAATGAGGCATGTGTAAATATTACTGAACAATTTTACTGAAGATTCATGAAGTTGACACAGAGAGGATGAACTGTATATAAATGGGTTCAGTGGAGATTACATTGTCTTTGTTTTTTGCTTGGAGTAGTTATGGTGATTAATGAACCACTGTATCCAGCTTCTGTATCAAACTCTTTTTTGGGCCAAGTTAAAGGACTATCTTTGGTGATATAAAGCACATTTGTTCAGTTTCCTGAAACTATAATAATTCAGAGTTGGCAGACAGAGTTATATATCCCCAAGTGCATGAATTGTGTTATCCAGTGAACCCTGCTACGTCTAAGAACAGAAGAGCACCTGAATCTTATTCTCCCCTTATCAGCCTTATTATATGTTGTCTGTACTGGAGGAAATTATGGCTTAGTATTAGAGATTTTTCTTCATTTTCTTGTCAACCACAAGGATAATTTTAGGTGAACTTACCCAGAGACACCTGGGTATTTTTCTGCCCAATGTCTATTGTTCAAAACATTAATATTGAACAACTGTAAACCATAGTTAACAATAAATCGGAAAGACAATGACAATCAACATAAAACAGGAGGGTTCTGCTGGCCTTTGCAGCTGAGTGGCAGCCCCATTTAATAGATCTTTCACTAACTGCTTCAACCTAATTAAGAATGGTTTTGATTACTATAGACTTGTAGCAGATCTTTTTTTCCTGTAGAGATAAAATGCTTTGAGATAACTTGATTTGTTTCTCAAATGTGAAAGAATATTAGGTTTTTTATTCATATCAACTACTAAAAAGTTAATACTTGTGGTGAATCTCTTAAAGTCAGTGACAGAATCCTATTAATCTCTGCAACTTCAGCCATCAGTCTACTGTACACAATGTGGATATTTTCAATAATTGTGGAAATAACACCATCGTCTTTTCCTTTGGGGATTTAAAAATAGATTCTAATTGTTGAAGTATGAAAATGACTAATTTTATCTTCAAAATGCATTTTTGTACATGGCTCATCTTGTCTATTTGAAAATAGCAGAGATATTTAAATTAGTAAATGTTACATTATAATCTCCAGAGCCTTAGTAAATTCCCTGAAATACAGCGTTAGAACTTCACACTAAAATGATTCCTGAAAGTTGTGTCAGTCCTCATGGATGTTTAGATCCATGATTGGCCAGATAGTTTTAAAGAGCCACCAAGCTAACAGGAATTATAGAAATATAATTTAAATTTTGTTGCAATTGTGCCAGGAAACTTCAAACCATGGACAGGAACCCTGCAATTCATAACAATTCACAATACAGAAATTTTTTTCTGTGTAAATGAGAGTTGTATGCATAGATGATTACAACAAATTATGTTTTATTTATTCACCCATTATTGTATTTATCTGTTCAATTTCAGTTACACAACTATGTATCAAGTCAGCCTAATATATTCCAAATATATTAGGACTTAAAATTCACGACTTGAATTTTAAGATGTAAAAATGATACATCTTCAAAAATTTAATTATAGCTAAAGTACTACTCTAATTTAATATATATCTATGATGATTTCTAATTTTTATTCTTGATTTTCTTCTGGTTGGTCTTAGAGAAAAGAGCCATAGAAAGTATTAACACTAAACAGAAGCCTTTTAGAATGACTGTATAGTTAATTGCAAGTTGTGCATAATATAATTAAATTGAATCAATCATATCAAATAAAATATAATTTAAAGTGAAAATGTTAATGATTCTTAGTATAACTGTAAGTATGCTGTTTTGTTCATTTGAATGCTTGTTTTCCACACAAAATGCAGCACTGTAGTGGTTTAGAACGAAGTGTGTGTTGCCAGCATTCAGACCTCAGTAATGTCCCTTATTAGCTGTGTGACTGTCAGCAAGTTATTTAACCTCTATTGACTCAAATCACCCACTGGGAAGTGGAGATTATAATAGTACTAACCTAAAAGAATTGTTGTGAGAATTAATGATTTAACACCTATTAAGTCATTTCATGACTTCCTAAGGTTCAATAAGAACTATATAAACATTAGCAATTATTATATATGTGTACAGTATGTAGTTAGTAGGAGGAAAAATCTTAGGGTTAGTTCATTTTATGTCCATTTCTTACTAGCTCTTTAACTTCAAGAAAATTTACTTATCTGCACTTTATCATATCTACCTTTTGAACTTGTTCAAGGATTGAATGAATTCACACGCATGGAGTGTTTAGCACAGTATTTGGCCAATAGTCAACCCTCAAAAAACATTAAACCTAATTTTTAAAATTATTTTATTATAAATATAAAATGGAGGTAGTAATTATCATCTTGCCCCTTCCCTGGTCAGCTATACCCACTGAACGTACCTGTGAAGATAAGTAAAAAATTGAATATTATTTTAATTTACTAATTATCTAGTAATTTATAAACTCAGTTATCATGTTTGTGAATAATCACACATGAATAAAACTAATTAAAAATATATATTCTTATCTCTATCTTTGTCTAAACTTGGTGGCAAGTAGCAGGTCATCTGTTTGTTTTTTTCTCTATTTAGGTTGCTAAAGTATCTTGTCATATAATTCAGAAAATGGTATAATATTAAAAAATATAAGAAAATTATATAATTTTTAAATATATACATGATATTGAAGTTAAGCATAAGCCAACTGTTTTTATAAGTATTCTGAACTATGTTACTATGATATTATCATTATTAGATAGGTCTCTTGGTTTTAAAAATGGAAATAATTTTTTAATAGAAAAATTATATCCTAAAACAGTAATTTTCATTGAATCTTACCACTAAATATACATTTGACCCATTTCATAATTTCAGGTTTCATAGAAGATTTGAAAATTTTAAAAAACTAATCTCGTGAAATGAAGACACAAGAAATACTTTCTAGGATACTAGAAACATTGATCAATAACTTGGAAAATACTGCTCTAAGCATGCTGCACTGTAATTCTTGTTCATTTTTTCGTTTTTGTTAGGAATCTTTCCCTGAAATTAACAAAGGACATTGATCAAGAAGCCAGGTATTCCCACATCAGCCGAATGCCCAACAGTCCATCTTCAGATTGGCCCCTACAAGGTGTGGAAGAAAATGGAGGCATAGATTCTCTGCCATTCAGACTAATGTTACAGGATTGCACAGCAGTCAAGACATTATTATTGAAGATGAAGAGAGTTCTTCAAGAGGTAATGGTTTACTCTAAGATTAATGTCCTTCAGTGCTGGTAGGCAATGAAGTCTGCAGAGGTGGCTAGACCCTGCTCTGTCAGTAATTAACTGCATGACCTTGGGCAGGGGTCAGGTTTTCTTTTGGAGCTTAGCTATTCTTATATATCAAATGAATGTTTTGAAGTTCTGGTTTATAAGGTACTCTTTAGCTTTAAAATGATAAGTTTATGAAATACTTAAGAAGAAATTGATCCCAAGCCTCCCCCTATTTGTCAGGTAAGGAGAAATGGTATCAGTTATAAAGTTACAGTTACATGCTGTTATAAAGCTATCGAGAGTCTTATTACATGTATTTCACATCAGTGATACCGGGGGTTTGTTTATATAATACAAAAAAGTAGTTTATTTAGTCATTTTTGTTCTGATCATAATCAAAATTCAATAAAATTGAATTACAGTAAAATTCAATCTGAAGGTCTGAATGATTTTGCCTAGGGAATGTAGTTGCCCTCCCCACAGCCTAGACCCAGTTAGTGAAACAGTGAGCTAATCAGGAAAATGCATAATGGGATTCTTTCACCTCTGTGCCCAGAAATCAGGCATTCTTTAGGATTCAAGTTTGCTTTGGTTTGATTTTTGTAATTACAACAGTTATTTTATTTGAGGGATTTCTATAAAAAGTATACACATGAATATTACCACTTCATAGACATGTGAAGTAAGTGTTAGAAATTTTAAATTATTTTCCTCTACTAAGTAATTTCAGGGCAGCAGCCTGAAATTTGTGACTTTGTATTACATCCCATTGTCTTTAAATAGATTTATCTTTATTGATCAGAGATGTTAATAAGGAATTTAAGAAAAATATTATTGAGAATAGTCTTTATGTTATAATGATTGCTAATATTTACTTTTTGAACACTTTGATAATGCTACTGCCACTGGAGGCTAGAATTGAACCAGGGAGAAAAAAGGCAATATAAGAGAAATGAATGCCATAGACTTTTGGGGCTTCCAGTACTGTGTTCTCATCAGCTGGTATAAACTGTATTAGTCTGTTCTTACACTGCTAATCGAGATATACTCGAGACTAGATAATTTATAAAAGAAAGAGATTTAATTGACTTACAGTTCCATATAGCTGGAGAGGCCTGACAATCATGGAGCGAAGGAGCAAAGTCACGTCTTACATGGTGGCAGGCACAAGAGCTTGTTCAGTGAAACTCTCATTTATAAAACCATCAGATCTCAGGAGACTTATTCACTACAACAAGAACGGTATGGGCAAAATCACCCCCATGATTCAATTATTTCCACCTGCCCCTCCCTTGACACATGGGGATTATTACAGTTAAAGCTGAGATTTGGGACACAACCAAACCATATCATACACAAAAACTGGAAGATACCTTCTCTGTGTCTCATACAGGTTATATAACTACGGCAACCTTTGTTTCTGGATTTTCTGGATCTTATGATGAGTTATGCTGGAATAGTATGCTTATATCTGATTATTTATTTATTTATTTATTTATTTATTTATTGTGAGATGGAGTTTGGCTCTGTTGTCAAGCTGGAGTGCAATGGCACTATCTCCGCTCACTGCATCCTCTGCCTTCCAGGTTCAATCATTTCTCCCGCCTCAGCCTCCCAAGTAGTAGGGACTACAGCTGCATGCCACCATGCTCAGCTAATTTTTGTGTTTTTTAAGTAGAGACAGGGTTTCCCCATGTTGGCCAGGATGGTCTCGATCTCTTGACTTCGTGATCCACCTGGCTTGGCCTTCCAGAGTACTGGGATTACAGGCAGGAGCCACCATCTGATTACTCTTAGAATTTCAGAAATTACATGAACTGGCAGTTAAGCAAAGCTGTCAAAATAAATGATATTAACTTATAATTAAATAAATTACTTTGAAAAAGTGTAATCAGTATTCAAAACATTTTCTATTTGTTTTACTATTATCTACACTTGTAAGCTTATTTATATCTTTTAGATTCACATGGTGGAAGTACTATATAATTCCTACTGTACAGATTTCCAACATGTATATTTAAGTCATTTTGGTAGCTGGAATCAGCCATGTGGGAGTATTTATACCTCACAAATTGGCAAACACTGCAAATTGGGACCTCTTATTTCTGGCAAGCCTGTTGTTAAATATTTACTAGCACATTACTATGTGCATGACTACATGATTTCTATACTGACATCATAAATATTTGCCTGCAAATGAATAGATAAGTTTGAATTTCTTCAACCTTTGGCTTAACATGCAATATGATCCTCTTTGAACAAGGCAAACAATAACAGCTGTTACACTAAAAGACACTAATCTCAAAGTCTGTAATATTCAACTATTCACCTTTTTACCTCTCTGTTTGGTCTAAATTTTAATAACAAATCAATTCAATCAAAAGTGAAGTAGAAAGAACTGACAGAAGGCTCCAAGAGGCTTTCTTAGAGTACTTAATTTTGTAACTTTAAAATATTCAGTGATGTTCACTGTAGAGTCAATATAGAGTCAATATATTGAGATCATTTTTATACTGCCTATCTGTTTTTCTTAATTAAGGAGTATTCAAAGAAGCTGAAGAGAATTGATTTTTAAGGCTGATGTACAGTGAGCAATACTTAATATACATTTGTGCAGCCCATTCAGTGGGCAGAGGGTTCTTACTATCAACAGGGAAAAGCAATATTATCATGTGATTAGCATAGACAACAGTTCTACTAAGAAGGTATTCATAATAGATGCCTCTAAAGAAAATTGTTTTTTGAAATGTTCAATAAGCCAGGAAGTTTTAAAGTGCAATTCCCATTTTATCACTAAATTTGAGTGTAATACCAATATTCCTTTAGATTAACAATATCTTTTTATTATAGACAAATGTTCATTCCTATTGATGTACAATAGTTCAACCTTGTTCACCCATTATTTTGTAATGGCAGGAGGTCCCTATTATCTGATTTTAAGATAAAATAATTACTTAATTTTAATATTTCACATTAGAATATACTTTTATTTGAGATTTTAAATTGTTACATTAGTTTAACAAAAATCCATGCTTGTAAAGTATGCAGACATGTTAGTTATTTCTAGTAACTTTTGTTTTAAAAGCATTTTATCACACAAGTATATATTCACGTTTTAACTCCCACTTCTACCTTATTCTATCATCCTTCCTTACTATCTTGTTATTATAAACTAATTTACAAGAGTATATTATATAATAAAAAATCAACATGGATTTTAATCAAAACAAGCCAGTAGAAAAAACATAAATTACAAATCTTGATTAAATATTGCTTTGATATATTTTATTCTGATTGATCTCTTTGAAACCTATCGCTTAGTAGAAATGCAATGCATTCATGATATTTTTGCACTTTTGCTAATAAAGGTACATCTTTCTTGTAAGCAAATCAAGTAATTCTTTTTTGTGTTTGAGGGGATATCTTCTACAAATAGCATTTGAAAATATCCAGAGATAGTAATAGTGAGATCACAGAACATTTTTTGGCCAAGACTGTTTAAGATTGTCTTAGTGTTGTGGATAATGACTAGCTGGCAAGAAGAATGTCCAGACAGATTGTTAATAGATTACTTTCCTAAAGTTTCTGGAACTGATTTAGAGTTGTGGAGTAACAAAAATAATTCCTTGGAAAGCTTTGCACTTCAGGCTAAATAAATATGGAGGTTGAGCATCCCTAATCTGAAAATCCGAAATCCAAAATTTTCAAAAATTAAAAAAATTTGAGCACTGATGTGACACCACAAGTGGATAATTCCACATATAAGTACTTTAAACAACTTGTTTTATACATAAAAGTTTTTAAAATAATGTGCAAAATTACCTTTGGGCTATGTCTTTAAGGTATATATGAAACATAAATAACTTTCATGCTTAAACATGGATCCCATTCCCAAGACATCTCATAATGCATATGCAAATATTCTAAAGTCTGAAAAAATTCCCAATCAGAAACACTTCTGGCACCTAGCCTTTTGGATAAGGGATACTCAGCCTGTACTCTATCTTTCAAGAACTCTTATCTATAGAGTCCATATTACTTATGCCATTTTAATGAATATAAGTGTTAATGAAAAGATCTCCTTGTGATATTTTAAAGCTACTATAAAATTTGCTTCTTGCTAACACTTTTTCTGAGGTATCACGTTTAAAGTTATTTTGCAATTTTTATTACTGACTAAACGACCTTAGATGCTATTAAAATGTTAAATCCCATTAGCTCATTCCAGATTTTTTTAAAGTTATTTTGTCAATAACTGGCATTGCATTACTTATTTTTCTACCTACTTTGGGTTTAATATAAATTTTCATCAAGTGATTCATTTGGCATTTAGTAATTCTTCCATTTTGTGCCATCACCATAACAACATAAGTCATATTAGTCAAAGTTTAATCCAGGTTTGGGGATTATATTTGTTATGCTATTTTATAATATATACTAAGGTATTAAACATCCTGAAACCTTCCTCTACTTAGGAGAATCTTGCTCCTAAATACTTTTCAGATATGCGTATATCTATCTCTTCTTCCAACTGCTCCTACAACAGTGATGGTCCATTTTACTAAAGTAACTTTGTAAATTGTCTCCTTACTTATAGTCTTCCCTCCTATCAAACCAGTTTACTCATTGCTGTCAAGCTAAAATGAATATGTGATCAAGTTACTCTCCTGTAAATCTTTGAATGTTTCCTAATTGCCCTTACAAGTTCTTCTACAGGTTGTGTAACAGTCTATATTTCCTCTTTCATTGGAACATTTATCCCTTCTCATTATAGTTGCTAATTCTTCTTTTGCTAGTAATACTCTAAGATGCATGAGAATCATCTTGTGATCTTGCACCTTGTTGAATCTTCTCAATCTGAAAGGTATTTGCTGCTTAATAAGTACTTATTAGTAAATAAATGAAAGAAAATAGATTTCACTGTTTTCAGGCTATCATTAAAATAACTGTTGATAGAAAACAAATGATAACTTGAGTGCTTG